CTTTATTTAGTATTAGTCACTTCCAGGAGTGCACTGACAAGCCCACTCCCAAAAAGGGAGAGCCCTCATTTGTAGTGTTCCCTCATTTCCATGCCAGAAATGTCCCCATCGTGACCAATTTCAAGCTACCGATGTGACGTCATTGAACACAGGGTTGGGAAGGGATACCTAAAATTGGCTCTGGCCAGCCAGTGCAGGCTGGCTCCCTGGGAAGGGAGGACACTATTTGTCACACCCCTGGGCTGCACATAGGCTATGACCTTCCCAAGTCACATGCCATATTTGCATGCTGGCATGAGTCAACACAGCCACGTACATCACAAGCGAGCAGTGTGTATCTCTCTAGCTGAGATGTGTTGAATGCAAAATGGGAGGGGTCTACCCCCAAAGAGCAGTGCGCCTCATAGGCACTTGACAAATGTGAGCCTCCAGCACCCCTTCTCTCCCGTCAGAGGCCTAGGGTGCCTAGGCTTCCATTCATTCATTCATTCATTCAGCAGATCTTTCCTGATCGACCTCTCTCTGTGCTGGGCACTCTGCTTGGGGCTGGGGAGACAGGGAGGCACAAGACAGATGTGGTCACTGCCTTGCAGAGCTTACGACATGGGATGATGATGACCAGGTCCCTAGTTCTGGTCCTGGCTCCATCTCCAACTGCCTGTGGCCTTGAGCAAATCCCTCGACCTCTTTGGACTTCAGTTTCTTCACCTGTAAAATGAAGGTGTTGAACTTGACATGTGCTAACGTCTATTCAAGCTCTGACCTTCTGTGGCTCCAGGAAGGGGGCGTGGGGTCCGGAAGGTACATGAGGCACGCTGAAGGAACTGGGCAGCCCTGGGGCAGAAGACAAGACCCCTGGAGATCTGGCATGAGTCCCTTGAAAGGCAGGGTGGACATTTTTATTGCGGTCCCTGAGAGTGAAGCTCACAGGTGGGAAGGGTCACTCGGACCCCAGCTTGGAAGATGTTGAGCACCGTCCCATCCCGGCCACGGCATGAGCCGCCTGGTGAACGGGCGCCTCCTATTCACTTAGAGACCGAAGACCACCTGCCTCAGGTGAACGCGGATGGGGTCCCTGGCAGCCGCTGGACCCTCTTCCAGCCCACACATCTTGAGAGGCTCACCCAGTTCTGCCACCAGGGACGTGGGGGACAGTGGTGCTGACCGATGCCTACTGAGTGCCAGACCCTGTGCGGGGCTCCGAGCTGGAGACCCAGTCCCCGCCCTCGAGAAGGGAGCCTGACTGTTCCATTACCTCCCTCAGTCTTGAAACAGCCCTGGGGGCAGAAGGGGTGTGTCCTGTGTTGTTAAAGTAGGAGGTGGCCACGCCCAGGACTGGATAGCTCTGGTCTGGGGGGGAGGGGGCGGGGTGTATCTCAGGTCTGGGGGTCCCCCCTGCACGTTGCTGGAAGAGGAATTCAAGGATGAGCTGCCCATTCAGTCTCTTAATCTGGTGGAATAAAGGCTAAGGCCCCGGCCAGGTTGGCAGCCAACCACGTGATAGAGTCTAGCTGAGGAGGAGGTGGAGGGTCTCCCTATCGCCCGCCACACACACACACACACACACACACACACACACACACACTCAGCTCAGTCTAAAAGCACGGCTAAGCTTCCTTTCCCCTGTCAGGTCTCCTGGTACTTCTTTCCTGAGAAAGCCCATTCCTTGGTGACCAATCAACCATACACGGAGCCCCTCCCGCCCCAGCCTTCACCGGGCACCCACTTCCTGCTCCCCCAAACTCCTCTTTCCTCTTCCTTTCAGATGCGCCTGTCCCCTTCCCCTGCCCCCCCGCCACACGCTCCCCTTCCCCTCCACCTTGCTTTGCTTCCCATGGAGAAAGGCCTCCCTGTTGACAGTCTGGCAGAGCCCATCTCCTCCCATAAAAGACTCAGTGACTCCTGGAGACATTTGGAACCCAGACAGAATGGAATTTCTCCCTATTTTCTTTACAGCTGCGAAAACACACACAAACACAAGAGCATATTTATTGCGATGTTTCTATCCCAGAGTTTGTCTTTAAATAAAAAAAAAAAGGGAGAAGAAATAAAATGAGTTTCTCTGCCCAGTCCACCTCTACCCCAAACCTCCACCCTTTTCGTTCCTGGTCGAGGCCAGGGAGAAAAACAGAGCGGGCCCGAGCCCCACAGAGGAGCACCACCTCGCAGACAATGTCGGGCTTGTTCGCAGAGTTTGGGAAGAAACACACCTCCGAGAAGAGACCCAAAGTTGCCCAGTGGAGGGTGTTCTGAGGGAAGAACAGGCGGGCCCTGTGTCTGGACACCGTATCCCCGAGGCTCTGGGAAGAGAGGAGCCCACAAGTCTAGCCCCGTCCCCAGACCAGAGGGGACACCTTACCCTTTCAGCCTCAGCGGGGCCTGGGGGGGGGGGGGGGGGGGGC